TTTTTGCTTATGTGGTGCTGAGGAATCGAACCCAGGGCCTCATGAGTGCAAGGCAAGCGCTCCTTCCCAGCCCCCTACCACTTCTTTTTTTTAAGTGTTTGCCACCATGAGTTTCATTTTTCTCTATAATTTAATAATTCTCTATTTATAATTATAATTTTAAATAAATGAGTACTAATGTTTTAAGATGAATATGACAGAACATGGAACTTGTCTCTTAATTCCTATAAAGGTACTATTATGGGCTGGGATGGTGGCTCAGTGGTAGAGCGCTTGCCTTGCATGCCTGAGGCCCTGGGTTCAATTCCTCAGTACCACATAAGCAAAAAAAAAAAAAGCCAGAAGTGGCACTGTGGTTCAAGTGGTAGAGTGCTAGCCTTGAGCTGAAGAGCTGAAGGACAGTGCCCAGGCCCAGAGTTCAGGCCCCATGACCGGATCCAAAAAAAAAATGCCAGAATGTTCTGGCATTATCTTTGGCTTTATGCATTTGCTTATTGATAACAAAACACAGGAAGCCAGGTATGGTGGTACATTTCTGTAATCCCAGCATTTAAGAAATTGAAGATTGCAAGTTCAAAGCCAACCAGTTCTACAAAGCAAATCAAGACCAATCTCACACTCACTGGGAGAGATCATGTCTCAGAAAGAGAAAAAAAACTGGGATAAGAATGTTAACTATTTAATTAATCATTTATTATAATCTATTGACAGTGTATATAATCCAGTAAAAGCAAATACCAAGTCCCTCAATATTTTCCCTGTTTGCATCATCATCTCACAAAAATTGAAAATGGAGATTAGATGATTTTCAGCATCTTTCTGGTATCTGAGATCAAGCCTTTTCACTTATTCAGGTAGTTTAGGGTGCTCTCCCACCTGAGGCATACTTCCCAAAATAGCATTTTTTCTAGTTAGTTGCAGATAGAGTGTCAAAGATTTTCTTCGTGAGCTAGCTTAGACCTGTGATCCTCCACGTCTCACATTCCTAATAAGCTAAGATTTTGGGCGTGAGCCATTGGCACCCAGCTGAAAAACTTGATTTCAGTCCAATCTTTTTAGGAGATATACAGTATCACTTGAAATTTTGTGTCTGAATATGAAAAACATCTTCATTTGAAAATTCTCTAGTGATGTCTTGAAAGTGCGATGAAGATCAAGACACTAGCAACTGAAACAAGGATTGAATAGATTTCTCAGTAAATTTCACTCTTGCTTTGTGAAACCTTATGTAAAAATGTCATTTATATTGAAGATAGGGATATTTTAGGTATTTATTTGTAACAAATAGGTAGCAAATTGTAAAGAAAAAAATCCAGTTTGAGTAAAGAAATTTCTTTAGGAAGATATTGCTTATAAAGCTTAAATTTGATTTTAAAATTGTGTTGTAATATGGAGTATTTAAATTCTGTCATCTTAGTTTCTGCCTAAAGGGAGAGGGACTGGATGGTACCTTTCCTGCTGTGATAGACTATACACCATATTTGAAGTTCGAACAAAGGTATTTGTGATTTTCATATGTTTCTGAAATCTTAATTATAATTGAGTATCTTACTGTGCAGTCCTCATCTGATTTAAACTATTTTATACCCAACATTTCTTTCAGTGTCATAAATCACTAGAGTACAAATTCCAACTGCATTTTAATATTTTATGTAAATACACACATTTTATATAGTTTCAATTTGAATACATAGTTTTTATATGATGAAACATTTATCTTATGGTCAATATAGAATAACAGTCTACTGAAATTTTAAAAGTATAATTCTCTTGTTTTCTGTTTTACATCTATTCTAAAGGATGAGTATCCTTTTACAAATTAATTCCACTTTTGTTTCTGTTGTAATTTTCATTTATTTCAGATAAATTCAATGAAAATTTTGATGACTCTTCAAAAGTACTTACAAAAGAATCCAGTTTGTCTTACCACTAGTGTTTTTAGGAGAATTTTAGACTTCCCACAACCTTATCACCAATTAAAAATTAATCAAATATAAAAACTAAGGTCTACTTGAAAATTTGATCTCCTGAAATTGTACATAAAATCTATATGTATTTCTAAAATGTTATAATCAAACCAGAGCTATAAGATACAGCATGTTTATTTGTGTATATATGAATTGTATGTATGTAAATACTGGTCATTAGACACATACATTAGTGATGAGTTTATTAAGCATATAGATTAATATAGAAAAGACATTTTCTAGATGCCAGGGATATAGATGTTAAAATATAGAAGACCTTTAAGAACTTCTGAAAGAGCACAGTCTTTGTCTCCAAGATAACCAGTACCTAGTCTGAGAAGTCACGAATGTTTTAAAGCTAGGAACTGAAGACATTTTGGATGGTGATGGATAAGGAAGAATATTGTACTAGAACACCAAGCCGGGAATAAAGAAGGAGTAAGGGATGTGTTCAAAAGGACAACCCTAGTGAGTTACTTCCTCCAATGACCTAGTTGATCCGTCCAGACTCCACCCCTAAAGTTTCCACTACTTCCCCAAACCATAGTTGAGGCCAAACATTCTTCAACACATGAACTTAGGAGGGTTGCTTCAAACTTACAATGTAGATCAGGCTGCCCTTGCCCTTGAAATATTCCCATCATATCCTCCTGAGTCCTGGAAGTATAAGCATATGCCACAACTTACTAACTTTTAAATGTAATAATATCTTTAACATTCATTCAACTAAATATTTTATTTAAGTATGATTATTTCCTAAAGAGGCAAATTTCTACAAACAAAACAACTAACCTAAAGGGACTATATAAGATTAAGCATACTACTGAATTGTTCTTCCTGTACACAGACTTTTCCCAACACCCTTTAGTAGGACTATGCTAATCATGTTCAATTTAAGGCCACTCCTTTGACAAACATGTACAGTACATCCTATGCTCTCACTTCTATTAAGGTCTTGGCTTCAGCAGTTGGTTCCCTCATTACTTATCCTTTTCTATGACTTGCTGCATACTGTAGCTCTGAGAACATAATGAAAAAACAAAATCAGTTTTTCCTGCACAGTCACAACATCATTTCTGGTGATCGCAAAATGTGTGGGGATTTCTCCCCATCAGCAAGGAAGCAAATAGGCCTATGTGAATGCTAGCAGAGTACCCTCTAGTTCACTTTAATTCTAATATTGTCTGTCTAACTATTACATCAGTTCTGCATTATGCAGCCAAATGAAGGTGGAGAAGGGTACAAAGGTTCTGTTCCTGTGGAATTGGGTTGAACCCCATGGGTTATGCTCTCTAAAAATTCTTCACCCTGACCTTTGAGAGGGGTTCATTGAAAATTCTGTTCTTAGGCCTCCGTTGGAGTATGGACACTATGTAGAAATGTGATTGGAGGAAAGCATGTGACTTCATGCTAATAGACTGAGGAAGCACAGTAAACAGCAAGGCTTGTGTAATGGCTCTTCCTTTTTGGACAACATTCCTTCAGCTCAAAATGGAACAAGCCCACTTCTGAAATAGGAATATTATTAGATAAGTAAAGTCAGAATTGCTTTGTGGACAGCTGTAAGACAGAAGGCAAAGGGAGATTAAAAATGTATTTCTTATTTTTCTGGCAGATGAGAGCAATGCAGAAAAATCAAAGAGACTTCACTTTCTGAGACCTAAAGTATCCCAGAATTTTAAGAAAAGAAGCTTTTTTTTTAAATCTCTACAAGTACTTGCTGCTATCCAAATTTCAACACTTTGGATTGTTCTACTTCTGTCTTCTTTAGTTTACTGATTAGTTTTTATTTTTTATGGAAAATTAAAATGTCAGATGAATGAAAAGTATTGTCTAACTGTTACAAAATTAAGGATTTATTAGAAATACATTTCTAACATCTCTAGTGGAATATGTAGACCTCACACATGACAGTAAATGAATATGATATACATTATATCATCAATAGTCCGGTTTTGATGTAACAAGAGTACATTTTCTATCTATAAGATATTCTTCATTGCATAAAAATTTAACAACAAGAAAGAAAAGAAGGCTTTGCCTTTATTGCTCTGAAGCTGTTCCAAAGATGCTTCAGGAGCCAGGGACAAAAGGTCAAATACTTTAACTTTATTTTTTTAGTCGTTTAGGAATACTTAGGAAATAACAAAGGCTATGGGACTTATGAGCCAGGATCTATGGATGAAAGCCAAATAAACACATGCACCCACGTAAAACACACACACACACACACACACACACACACACACACACCTTAATATCACAATAGCATTTAAGCACATTATTATTTTGTCCATAGCAAATAAAAAATTTCCCATATTACTTGGAGCTGTTTCTTCTACCCTGTCTCCTTTTATTTCTCAGTCTCCTTCAGAACCTCTTCCACCCCCCAAAAAAACCAAGACCCCTCCCTGCAAAAAAAACCCTTACTTTCAAAGTTGAGAGTGACAAGAAGCTAAGAAGATGGCTGGTTCTGGTTTGGGATTTTTCTCTTCATAACTCCTGTGATTGGCTTCCCTTTGTTCCTTTCATTCTCCTCTGACTGGTTCTTTATCTTCCCAACTGCTAAATATTAGGATATTTCAGGAATCAATCCAGACTCCTCTATTATACACTCTCTCAAAGTTTCATACAATTTTTCATTATTTTAGATATTGTGTATATGCTGCTCTTTACTAAATGTATTCCGCATCCTAAGCAACACCATTCTAGACTCAGATATTATAAGCACCCCAAATACAACATGTATAAAATTGAAGTACTAATTCATCATCCAGAAACTTCTTTCCTTTGATTTTTTTTCCATCCTAAGAATAATAGTTTTGTAATTATAATTGCTTATGATGAAAACTTTGCAGTCTTCCTTCAATTTTTCTCTGCCACAACTCTCACAGGTCTGTCAGCAAATCTTACAGAAAGTCCATTTTACTTTACATCTGAAGATGTACAATAATCTCCATGCCTCTACCATGGGTTCCTAATACCGAATTCTTCATAAGAGTAGTCAGCATGGTTCTTTTGAGATGTAAGTTAGATCCTTTTTTTCCTCTTTTCAAAACTTTCCAGTGGCTTCTTTGCATTGAACTCAAAAGGCACAATTCCTCAGTTTATTTGGCCTCCACTAACCTGTCTGACCTCATGTCCTCTGACTTTCCCTTTTTCTCATGCACTCCAATATTGAGGTGCTTAGGGTATTTATTGATATAGTTGTATGATATCTACTCTTATATTTTGCCTTCTAGTCTAGCTTTTCATATTTCTTTTTTATCTGTTTGTTGCTTTTTTTGGAAACAGTGTCTTACGTACATAGCCCAGGCTAGTCCCAAACCTGTGATCCTCCTGTCTCAGCCTCCCAAGTGGGGGATTACATGTTTGCACTACCATGTCAGACATCCATTTCTTTTTCTCTTCTTCCTTGCCCTTTCTTGGATCATTTTCTCCTCCACTCTCATTCCTGTACTGTTTCAGAAATTACACACTCTTTTTCTCTTCTTTTAGTGTTATGGTATTAATTCTAATACGCAGATTTAAATTTTAATGTATAAAATCCATGCATCTAAAGTAAGTGATGATCTTGCATTGCTTGAACTATACTTATTTATCCCTTTTATGGCATGGCTACTGAAGAATTTAATCTGTTCTTGTTTTATTTAAAATTTCACAGAAAGGGGGCTGGGAAGTTGGCTCAGTGGTAGAGTGCTTGCCTTGCATATATGAGGCCCTGGGTTCAATTCCTCAACACCACATAAGCAGTAAAAGCCAGAAATGGCTCTGTGGCTCAAGTGGTAGAATGCTAAACTTGAGCTGAAGAGCTGAAGGACAGCGGCCAGGCCATTTAATCCCTAAATTGGACAACTATTTTTGCACACTTTCTTTTTCTACGTTCATTTTCCTCTCTCCATTTTTTTAACCTTTTCCCTTACACCCTCTGCTATATTGATGTCATACAGAATTTTGAAGATAGATTGTTATATACCCTTGAGGCCAGACCAGGAAAAAAGGCAGAAAGATCTTGTATCGAAAAGACAAAAGCACAGGGACAAAACAAAAGATTTTTAAGTTTTTTTCCAAATTAAACTCTAGTCTTGATTAGTCAAGCAGTCAGCAGGCAGCACAGGAAAACAGGGAAGTAGAGTCTTGTGTCAGGTAGAAATATGTAAAAGCAAATGCTGCCCTTTTTATTTACATATTTATATTTTTATTTACATTTTATTGTAAAGGTGATGTACAGAGGGGTTACAGTTACATAAGTCAAGTAATTCATACATTGCTTTTTTTCCCTTCTGACTCCCTTCCCCCACCCCAAGTTGTAAAGTTCATCTTCAGCATAGTGTATAGTGAATATCACTATTGAATTCGTTCACACTTTGTCCTGATATTTCTGTGATTCTCTTTACATCTATATCTTCTCCCTTTCAATAACCAATGTTTTAAAATAACTAGTTCTTCTAAAACTTTCTTCTCCTTGCCAAAGCTGAGCTGATCTTGAACATTATTTTTTGTGCTCATGGACATTGTATTCATGGCACTGGCCATTGACTTTTTGTCTTGCAATGAAGATAAGACAAGCAGTGGTCCACTAAGGATTGTGAAAAGAACCCAGATAGAAAGTTCTTATCTTCACATCTGGAGTTTCTGCTTCTCTCATCTTGGAATCCTTTGTCTCATATGAATGTTCTCACAGTTTGTAGATCTGTTAATCTCACTTGAACTTCAGTATCTTGGTGGTGGTGGTGTGTGTGTCTGCTTGCTTGCTAGTACTGTGACTTGAACTCAGGGCCGGAGTGCTGCCCCTTATGTTGTTCCTTCAAGGTTGGTACTCTATCACTTAAGACATAGCTACACTTCTAGCTTTTTGGTGGTTAATTGGATATACGAGTCTTACAGACTCTCCTTCCTTAACTGGATTCTGGCTTCAAAACATTATTCTCAGATCTGAGTAGCTAGGATAACAGGTATGTGCCACTGCCATCTGGCTGAACTTTACCATCTTTAGGTTCGTTTTTGTGACAGGATGTCCACACCTTATGTTCACTTTATGAATATGTCTTTATAGTATTATTACTATAATTCAAATGCGACTGATAAGTTTTAGAGGTTATTCAACAATATCTTACTAATATAGGAATATTCATCCTAAGAATCAAAGTAGGGAGTCTTCTTTACTCTGTTCTGCAAGTGAAACAGGAAGAGGTTTTTCCTTACTTGCCAGTTTTTTCCTTCTTCACTTGTTTTACTAAAATCTGTGCTAAACTTTAAAACAAAGAATTAAAGTAGAACATATCATTGACTTTATTTCATTCTTTCCCTTGGATATGTCCAGTTCTGATAGTATCAGCAGTGATGAGGAGGAACTCAGAACTTTTGGAAGCAGTGACAGTGAAAGCAGCACTCCGGAGAACGTGGGACCTCCTCTCATAATGGATGAAAATAGCTGGTTCAATAAGTGTAAGAGAGTGAGACAAAAGTATCAACTTACCCTTGAACAGAAGGTATTTATTGTTTGTCAAAACTCAATTTGTTGTACTTTATACTATCATTATCAAAATATTCTTTAACTAAAAGAAGAGATATTAATCATTGACATTTCCCCTTTGTTTCTGAAATGACTTCTTAAGTAAAAATATTCAAAGTAAGCTGGGTGCCAGTGATGTAAGCCTGTAATCCTAGTTACTCAGGAGTTTGAGATTTGAGGATTGTGTTTCAAATCTAGCCTGGGCATGAGATTCTGTGAGGCCCTTATCTCCAGTTAATCACTAGAGTAGAGCTATGGCTCAAGTGATAGAGCTCTAGCCTTGAGCACAAAAGCTCAGGGACAGTGCTCAGCTTGAATTCAAGCTCCAGCACTATCACTTTAGATATACACATCACACACACACACACACATTGCAATTCCTTGCCTATGAGACCCTTCAACATAGGGTACTCTTAAAACTTATCAGACTACACATTGGGAAGGCAGGGATGGTAAGGGGAAACAAAGAGGAGGTACCAATGCTTGATAAGAAATGTACTCATTACCTTGCTCATGTAATTGTAACCCCTCTGTACAGTATTTTCACAATAAAAAAACTTATTAAAATTAAAGAAAAGTAACTACAGAAAGCACATTTCAAACAGGACACTTGGAAATGTATAACTCTGTAAGTCATCTAAAAATTTCATTGGGAGCCTAATAAACAGACTAAATAAAGCAAAAGAGAGAATATAAGAGCTCAAAGAAAGTGGGTGAATTACTAAATTCAAGTAAAAGACAACAGGATAGCAGGTTAAAAAAAACCAAATTGTTTATTGTCTGCAAGAAACTAACTTCATTGGCAAAGACATGTGCATACTGAAAGTGAAAAAAATGGAAAACAAACAGAAAACCCCAAAAGCAGGTATATCTGCAATAATCACTGATATATTCAGACTGTAACCTGAGGTCAGTTAAAATAGACAGAAAAGGCTACTACAATTAAGGAAGTAATTCATCAAGAAATTATATGACTATAAATATATATATATATGCATCAAAAGAGAAACATCCAGTTTTATAAAACAAATTCTACTGCACATAAAACAAGAAATGGACCCTAAGATAACAGCAATGGGTGATTTCAACTTTTTACTCTATAAATAGAGCCTCCAGGGCTGGGGTTAGGTGGCTCAGTGATAGAGTGCTTGCCTTGCATTCATGAGGCCCTGGGTTCAATTCCTCGGCACCACATAAGTAGAAAAAGCAGGAAGTGGTGCTATGGCTCAAGTGGTAGAGTGCTAGCCTTGAGCTGAAGAGCTGAGGAATAGCTCCCAGGCCCCACAACTGACAAATAAATAAAGAATAGACCTTCCAGACAAAAATATCAACAATGAAATATCAAAGTTGTTACACTATAGATGAGATTGACTTAACAGACATATACAGAATATTCATATAATTTCATTAAATACATGAAAAGTCTTAGAAAATAGATTATATATGAAACTGTAAAGCAAGGCTTTAATTTAAAAAAAACTATAAAAATTTCTGTTATTTTCATAATATTTTATTTCCAGGGTTATCTTGAAGAACTCTTACGACTTCGAGAAAACCAACTATCTGAATCTGTTTCCCAGAATAAAATACTACTTCAAAGGATTGAAGATTCTGATCTGGCCCATAAATTGGAGAAACAACAACTAGAATATATAATTGTGGAGCTTCAAGATCAGCTGTAAGTGAAATCACTTAGAAAAATGTGGCAATATGTAAACATAAAGACAAAGTGTTATTGCTGTAAATTCTTAGCAATCCGGTTGACTTTATTAAATCTTGTTTTTTAAGCGTTTAATTTTTTTCTTATTACAGAAGTAATCCATGTTTATTATAACTAGGTGCCAGTGGCTCATGCCTGTAAGCCTTTGTATTCAGGAGGCTGATATCTAAAGGATTGTGGTTTACTGACAGCCTGGTCAGAAAAGTCTGCAAGACTCCATCTCCGAAATAACCAGCAGTCAGCCAGGATAGAGACATGGCTCATGTGGTAGAGTACCAGCTGAGCAAGCATAAAGTCTTGAGTTCAAGCCCTGGTACTTTGAGATTAAAAATATAGAAGATAAAATTTTAAATTAAATTCTTAGTTAGGAATAAAAATAGTATTATTTAGGAATTTATATCCTTGTGAGAAGAGTAATGTCCATATATTGTTTCTTCTTTTTCTAATGTAAGAGAGCTTTTCCTGTGGTGCCTCTGTTATTAAGGTCAGATGGACATTCCATAGCTCCTCACTTCTGCTAAGCAGGCACAAAAACATCAAGAGCCAAATAAAGATTTCTGGTTAATTATGAGTAAAAGACTAAGGAGAAAATTTTGGTTTTTTTGGGAAGTAATGCTTCCAATTTAAGTGTTTTTAATACTAAAAATAAGAAAAACCAGTCTCAATGAACTGATATGACAATATATGCTTGTAATCTCAAATCTGAAAAGTTTGAGGTCAGACCGTTTCAAAAAAACTCAACAGTTGACCGGGTTTCCGGTGGTTCACATTTGTAATCCTAGTTAATCAGTATGCTGAGATTTCAAGGATTTAGGTTTGAAGCCAACCTGGGCAGAAAAAGTCATCAAGGCTCTATCTCTAATGAACTAACACAGTCTCAGATTATAAGCATGGCTGAAATGGTGGAGCACCCTCAATAAGTAAGCAATCTGAGCAAAAGCTTGAGGTCCTGAGTTCAAGCCCTAGTACTTACACACACATACCACCCACACACCAGCCCCCCCCCCCACACCAGCCAGACCTGGTGACTTATATCAGTAATTCCAGAAGAAGTGAGAGTAGGAGGAGTAACAACTGGAGCATAGCTCAAGTCCTAAAGCACTAGCCAACTGCAAGGCCCTGAATTCAATCTTTAATATTGTAGCCTAAAATTCAGTTGTTATTTTATCAGAGGATATTTTCATTTGAATAATTAATTTATATGGATTAATTAATTTATTTTTGTTAAAGTAACAAGGCTCAGACTTTTTAATTTGAGAAAATGATGCATCCCAATTATAGTTTTATCATACAGTGTCAGTGATACTATAAGAGTCTCAGGAACTTTATAGTTCTTTTTAATGTCTTTAAAACATTAAAAAATATTAATAGAGCAGAAAATAGAAAACATGACGATGAAAACTAGAATATTGCCTTCAATTTAAATGTTAAAGACATATAATATGAATGATAATATAATATAATATGAATGAATGGTAAAAATGGCCTCACAAAATCCTTTCCTATTAAAGGATACTGAACAGGAAGATAAGATAAAAATGCTTTATTAATAAGTGCTAAAAACGTACTACTTCATGAAGATTAGCTTTAAGATGCAGAATAGTGTATTTTCAGTTGCAAAGAGAATAAACATTTTTCTCCCTGTATCACTGAGTTTTTTTACTAGTAGTTATGGAAGTATACAATCAAAGGTTGGCATTGGAATTTCCCTTTTTCATCCTGAGAAAATAAAAGCATCCCGATAATATTAAAAGATCTGAAAAAGAATATTAAGAGGGTCAATAACAAAATTAGAAAAAGAATATTGAGGTGTAGAATATAGAGCATGAAATGTTTTCTTCTATATTGTGTTCCTTATGTTTTCCTGGTCACAAATGTGATGTCACTCATCTGGTTCTTTGTATATTTCTTAATTGTTACATGTATTTGCTGTTATTCTTAGATGTGTCTTAAAACTCAAAATATGCACATTTTATAGTTTTTGTAACAGTACCAAAATTATGGAATAAGCTAAGTATCTGTTACAAATCAAGACTGTCTTCATGTAATAATTCTACCTTTGCCTCTTTATAGGTTAGTCATAATTAATGTCTTGATGCCTCTGCCTCTTCATCTATGAAATAGAGATAATATTTACCTATTTATCATTAATTGTTAAATGATTTTGGATATAATGTGTAAAAGAAAGACAACATTCAAAGGAGGTTTATTCCTCTGATTTAGTTTATAGACACATAAAATCTCTTTAATAAATACAATCATAAAGTTAAGTGGAAAATTAAAAGTGAGCTGAACACAAAAGTGTCTCATTTACAATCTTAGTTACCTCAGAGGCTAAGATGTGAGGATCAAAATTTGAAGTCAGTTCAGGAAGACACGTTTGTGAGACTCTTATCTCCAATTAACCAGCAGAAAGTTGGAAGTACTACTCAAATGCCAGCTATGAACAAGAGCAAAAGGCTCTGAGCCCAAGCCCCAGTATTGGTACAAAATAAAAGTTTGACATCAGTGGCTCACACCTGAAATCCAGCTACCCAGGAGGCTCAGATATAAGAACCAAAGTTCAAAGCCAGCCCCTATAGGAAACTGTTAGAATCTTAGCACAAGTCAACTTCTGAAAAATAGAAAAAAAGCTGAATATGGAGCTTTGGCTCAAGTGGTAGAGTGCTAACATTGAGGTATTTGATCCTTTTGGAATTGATTTTGGTGCAGGGTGATATATAAGAATTGAGCTTCAGTTTTCTGCACATGTATAGCCAATTCTGCCAGCACCATTTGTTGAAGAGTCAGTCTTTCTTCCCTCCTTTGTTTTTACTCCCTTATCAAATATTAGGTGGCTATGCTTCTATGAGTTCATTTCTGGGCCTTCTATTCCATTCCATTGGTCCTTGGGCCTATTCTTGTGCCAGTATCAAGCTGTTTTTATTACTGTAACTTTGTAGTATAGTTAGAAGTTTGGCATTATATTCCTCCAACACTGTTCTTCTTGCTTAGGATTGTTTTTACTATTTGGTATCTTTTATTATTCCATATGAGTTTTTTTTATTGCTTTCTCTATATGTTGAAGAATGTTGTTGCAATTTTGATGGGTATTTCATTGAATTTGTAAATTCTTTGGGCAGAGTTGCCATTTTCACAATGTTAATTCTTCCAATCCATGAGCATGGAAGGTTTTCTCATTTCTTCAAATCTGCTTTAATTCCTTTTTTCATATCTTTAAAGTTTTCATAATAGAAGTTCTTCACATCTTTGGTTAAATTAATTCCTAGATATTTTATTTTAAACCAACAAAATAGGCCCATAACAAGTAGTGAAATTGAAATGGCATAAAAGGTCCTCCATCCAAAAAAAACCCCAGAATCTGATGTGTTCACAGCCAAATTCTAGAAGGCTTTCTAAGGAGAACTCACTCCATTTGTCCTCAAACTCTTCAATGAAATTGAAGGGGAAAAATACTATCAAACTCATTTTATAAAGCCAGCCTGGCACTCATCCCAAAACCAGATAGGGACTCATCAAATCAAGAGAATGATAGACTCATCTCTTTGATGGATGCTGCTGCAAAATTTCTCATTAAAATTCTAGCCAACCAAATTCAGGAACCAAAAAAATCATACACTATGATTAACTGGGATTCATTCCATTGATGCAAAGCTGGTTCAATATACATACTAATGTATATTGTAATTAAAATAATTTAACACATCAACAGAAGGAAGGACAAGAACCACATGATCTGCATCTCAATAGATGCAGAAAAAAAGCCTTTTACAAGATATTCAATACTCCTTTATGATAAAAGCTCTGAAGAATCTAGGAATCCATGAACTTTCCTCAATATATAGTAAAGGCTATATATGACAAACCTACAGCCAGTATTATACTTAATGGTGCAAAATTAAAACCATTCCCTCTAAAATCAGGAATGAGACAGGATGTCCACTCTTTACTCTTCTTTAAAATAGTCCTGGACTTCCTAGCAAAAGCAATAAGCTAAGAGAAAACTATAAACGGGATCTACATAGAGAAAGAAGTAAAACTATTCCTTTATGAAGATGACATGATCCGGTATTTACAAAATCCTGTAGATTCCTCTCCCAAGTTACTTGAGCTGATCCAAAACTTTGTCAGAGTAGCAGGATGTAAAAGTAACCTACCCCAAACAGTAGCTTTATGCCAACAATGAGAAGAGAAAGACTAATCAGGAAAGCAACTCTATTTGTAATAGCCTCCAAAAAAAATCTAGAAATTAACTTAACCAAAAGTGTTTACTTTCTTGTGTCAAAATACTGTGGACCAAACAGTCATTGTAGAATTTCTTGTATTATCCCTGAATTTCAAAATAAATTCATTTTTGCACTCTAATTTCTTAATGATGATTAGATTAATGTTAAAATAATGACATATATTTATGTGCATGGTGTCTCATGAATATTGCCTGTTGTTTGACAGGTGTCATAATTATTTTCCTCATCCATCTATTCAATGAAATACAGCATTGTACAAGGTATTAACAAAGGTACATATGAATAGCTAAGTTTATGACTGATAGAATTAAAATTATATTATTTCTTTGTAGATAAAACACTATTATAGGTTTTCGATCCTCACAGTTTTGAAATATAAAGTATGGTTTCAAAACTCTTATTAATTTTACTTTGCTGCAATAACTTTTAACTTCAACTTATTTATTCACTTAAGTAAATGTCACTTAATTAAATATAAGCCAGCTTAAAATATTAGCTACACCTTGGCTTGATATTTGTTAATTTTGCCAGAAGATTATAAAAAGGTTTTATTTATATTAATGTTTATTATGCTAATTAATGGAAAAACTTTATTTTTAATTTTTTTCTGTTCAGTGAATATTTAAATGTATACTTTGTGCTGGGATCATATGTAGCTGAGAATACAACTAACATCATCTCTTTTCACAAGGCACTAGTAAGACAGATACATGTCATCAATCACTGGGTTATTTGAAGAGTAACACGTATAAGAAGGTGAAATTGTGAGCATCCACACGGTCAGACATTATCAATCACATGGTTATTTAAAGAGCACCATACATAAGAATGAAGATTTGTTAGCATCCACAAGTTTAAACCCATATAAATTATTTGGTATACAAGTTATTCTGTAATACATACTGCAAATCTCAGGACCAAACAGACCCAGAACAGTATATAAAAATACTTTGAACACCAGTGAAGTGTCATCCAATTAATGTTTTTCTTTTAATCATTTGGAAGATTTTAGCAGTAGTAACATGAGGAAACTGAAGAGTTTAAATAGTTGAAGTAAAGAAGCATTCACTGTTAAAACTAGGCCAATGTGAGAGTTCAAGAACTTGTTTGGAGTGGTTAATAGTAAGTAATCTCAGCCTACAGGCCATAGTTGGTAAGGTCATGTTGCCCTGATTTACAAGTTTAGGATGACTATTTGATGTCATCATGCTCTACTTAAAAATAGACAGATTGTAACAGTTCTTAATCATTGGCCATGTATATATTTTAGTGAGTAGTAATGTTATTTAAACTTAAGCTATAATCATGTCAATATTTATGATATACTAAATTGTCCATATTAGGACAAAAAATTAAGAAAATGCAGCCAGAAGTGAAAAGGACCAGCATCAAATACGAAAATCATGTCATACTGTACTTTCTTGGGTGTTACAGAAATCAATAGAGTACTCAATTTTAAAAGGGTACTAATTTGATTATGGATATTTCATTGCCTTTAATTATATGTCCCATTAAATCTGCATATTCTACAGAACAAATGATTATATATTTGAGTCAGAGACCTAGTAATAGATGACACTGATATTTCACTGAAAATTGACTTATTACAAAAATGACTCCATTTTGGCATCTTTAATAAATATTTATCTTGAAGAAACAGAAGAAGCTTTCATAAATTACAGCTTACATAATAAAAAGATATATGTTGTTATTAATATACAAGTATCTCAAATAGTTATTTCAGTTCTTTAACTGACTTCTATGAGTTTTTATAAGAGTATTTTGGGGAGATGATATATTGAACGCACCAGAATCTGTCCTCCAACCTACACATTTGAATTGACAGAACATATCTAATGTAACTATTTTAGAACTTGACAGATTCTATTGAAGGCTTGCAGCTTTCAGGGGAACATACAGATGTGAATAATATTTAATTTTAACTCAGCACAGTAACAGCTACCCATACCCTAGTTCTAGCCCTGTGGGAGGCTATAAACATCTTCTGGTGGCCAAAAATCATCCTGCCCTCCAGACATCAGGGACCAGATAGCTGCCGATACCACTGCTTATATCTTATGACCACAGAGATACAGACAGAAACATGGGGTTGGGGAAGATTTTTTTAGCACCACTCTTCCATGTTACTAGACTCTCTCCTTCTGGCTGAAGTGGTTTCCATAAAGTTGAAAGATCTAGCATCCTTTTTTCCTGTTGAATTTTTCTCTTTTCCACCTTGAGAAATCAGACATTAAAGGCTACAGCATTTGGGGCAGGTGTAATGACATATCACCATAATTCTAGCATTCAGGAGGCAATGACTGGAGAGTTCTAAGTTCAAAGCCAACCTGAGCTATATAGTGACCCCCTGTTCTAAGAACAAACTAACAAGTAAGCAACAACAAAAAGATTAAAATACTAAAAAACAAGCATATATGGGAAAAATTAGGATACTATGTATACTCAGAAAGGCTTTAACTTGGAGATGACCTTAAATTTATACCCGAGACTTAATAGTGTAAAGACATCCTATGATAATAATAATAGTAATAATAATAATAATATCAGTAATAATATAATAAGAAAATAGCAAACTCCAGGAAGAGGAGAAGTTCAAAGCCAGCCTTGGAAGACAAAGACAAAAGACGCATATTTCCATTTAACCAGCAAAAAGCCCAAAGTAGAAGTTTGGCTCAAGTGGTAGAACACCAGCCTTGAGCAAAAAAGCTGAAAGTATGAGATCCTGAGTTCAAGCTCCGGTCAGCACAAAAATAAACTTACAAAGCCAAATTATATTAAGTGTAATGTCTATGGTAGCTACAAAAATAGCTATGCATTGTACACAAAAAGAAATGAGGAGGACGGCAACGGGGGCGGGAAGTTCCCAGAAGGAGCAAGACAGGGAGGGACAGGGCTGAGGAGAGGAAGGCAATGCGGAGGGCGCCCTGGCTCAGGCAGACTCTCAGGGGCGAGGTCAAGCCAGGGGCAGCGGCCCTGGGGGGCGACGCCATCTCTTCCTCCATCCCGCGGGCGGAACCCGAGGACAGGAGCCTCACATGAAAGAAACTATCATGAACCAAGAGAAACTCGCCAAACTGCAGGCACAAGTGCGCATTGGTGGGAAAGGAACTGCTCGTAGAAAGAAGAAGGTGGTTCAGCAGATGACAAAAAACTCCAGTTCTCCTTAAAGAAGTTAGGCGTGAACAATATCTCTGGTATTGAGGAGGTGAATATGTTTACAAACCAAGGAACAGTGATCCACTTTAACAACTCTAAAGTTCAGGCATCTTCGGCAGCAAATACTTTCACCATTACAGGCCATGCTGACACAAAGCAGCTGACAGAAATGCTTCCCAGCATCTTGAACCAGCTTGGTGCAGACAGTCTGACTAGTTTAAGGAGACTGGCTGAAGCTCTGCCCAAACAATCTGTGGATGAAAAAGCACCACTTGCTACTGGCGAGGATGATGATGATGAAGTTCCAGATCTTGTGGAGAATTTTGATGAGGCTTCTAAGAATGAGGCAAACTGAATTGAGTCAACTTCTGAAGAAGATAGAAGAAGTTACAGGACCTGCTATTTTATAATATGACTGCTTTTTAAAATTCTTTTGTTTATGGGTCTGATAAAATCTAGATCTCTTAATATTTTTAAGCCCAAGCCCCCTGGACACTGCAGATCTTTTCAGTTTTTGCTTATACAAAATTCATTCTTTGTAGCTAATGAAGCTAATAAAGCCTGGGAATAAAGGTTGAAACAAAGGTTAATACAATTCTTTGCCTAGTAAAAAAAAAAGGAGAAAATAAATATTGCATTAAAAATCTATACTACACACAAGAAAACAATAATTCAGGAAATTAGGAACAAAACCTTTAGATATATAGGAAACAAATATCAAAATGACAGAAGTAAGCCTCTCATCAGTCATGAAGTCAAATACATTAAACTCTTCAATCAAAAGACTGTTTGGAGCCACAGGTAAAATCATATGATCCATATAATCTTGATGTCTACAAGAAACTGTACTTTGGATCCAAAGATGCAAATATATGGGGAAAGACACTACTTATAAATAACAGTGAAAAGCAGATATAGTAACACAAATATGAGGAGAAAATAAGTTTTACAGGCAAATAAAAGGTTATGAGACAAAGGATATTATAGTTAATGAACAATTAATGGAATAAAAAGATATAAGAGCAAAACATTGTTTTGCATCTAATAACAGACTGAAAATGTATAGTTTTGATAATACCAAAGGTAAAACATTTTAGGTAATATTTTTTAAAAAGCTATTAAATAACAAGCTGAGCACTGGTGGCTCACACTTGTAATCCTAGCAACTCAGGAAGCTGAGATCTGAGGATTAGGTTCAAAGCCAGCTGCGGCAGGAAGTCCATGAGACTTGTATCTCCAATTAACCACCAAAAAACTGGAAATGGAGCTGTAGTTCAAAGTGGTAGAGAGGTAGCCTTCAGAAAAAGTAATTCAGGAATAGCATTCATGCTCTGAGGTCAAGCCCCATGACTGACAAAGAAAAAACAAAACTATGAAGCAACAACAAACAAGTGAAGGGAGAAATAGACATCTCTAAAATAATAGCTGCAGACTTCAGTACCCTCTCAGCAATGGATTGAATAACCAGATGAAAATAAGGAAGTAGAGCACTTGAACAGCATGATAAACCAATTAGATCTAAAAGATATACAGAATATTTTATCCAGTAAATACATTCTCAAAGGCATATAGAAAAATTACCAAGAAATGCTCCTCAACCGAAAGAACACTGCTGGAGGAATATCAATACCAAATTTCAAACTCTACTATAAAGCCATAGTAATCAAAACAGCTTGGTACTGGCACAAGAACAGACCTCAGGACCAATGGAATAGAATTGAAAACCCAGAAATGAACCTACAGACCTATAGCCATCTAATCTTCGATAAGGGAGCTAAAAAAAACAATGGAAGAAAGACAGCCTCTTCAATAAATGGTGCTGACAAAATTGGTTAACTACTTGTAGAAAACTAAAGCTAGATCCTTATATATCACCCTGCACCAGAATCAACTCCAAATGGATCAAAGACCTTGCAGTCAAAGCAGACACTCTGAAAACATTACAGGATGGAATAGGAGAAACCCTAGGTCTCCTTGGCTCAGGCTGAAATTTTCTTAATAGAGACCCAGAAACACAACAAATCAAAGAAATGTTGGACAAATGGGATTGCATGAAGTTGCAGAGCTTCTGTATGGCAAAGGACATAGCTAGCAAGATCAATAGAAAGCCTACGGGTTGGGAGAAGATCTTCACTAGCCATACAACGGACAAGGGTCTCATATCTAAAATATACTTGGAACTCAAAAAATCAAATCCCCCAACAACAAATCCTCAAAGAAACAACTGCCCAATGAATAAGTGGGCTAAAGACGTAAAGAGAAACTTCTCTGAAGAAGAAAGAAGGATGGCCAATAGACACATGAAGAAATGCTCAACCTCCCTAGCCATAAGCGAAATGCAAATCAAAACAATATGAGATACCACCTCACCCCAGTTAGAATGGCTATAATCAAGAACTCTAATAACAACAGATGCTGGAGGGGATGTGGACAGAAGGGAACCTTACTTCATTGTTGGTGGGAGTGTAAACTTGTTCAACCACTTTGGAAAGCAGTATGGAGGTTCCTCAAAAGACTCCACATAGAGCTCCCCTATGACCCAGCAATCCCCCTTTTGGGCATTTACCCAAATGTTTACAAACAAGACCACACTAAAGCTACCAGTACAACTATGTTTATTGCAGCATTATTTACTATAGCTAAGATATGGAACCAAACCCAGATGCCCCTCAGTAGATGAATGGATCAAGAAAATGTGGTATATATACACAATGGAATTCTATGCCTCCATCAGAAAGAATGACATTGCCCCATTTGTTAGGAAATGGAAAGACTTGGAAAAAATTAAGTGAAGTAAGCCAAGCCCAAAGAAACATAGGTCCCATGGTTTCCTTTATTTGCAATATCTAGTATATGTATGAGCAGAAAAGGTCAGATAAGGTGATGTTAGGAAAATGAACCCTAAGATATGATTTAAATGTTTTTTATCTTTCATGCATTTGTTTCTAACGCATTTATAAGATTATTTCTTTGTTGCTTTATATGTCCCTCCCCCACATTATAACCCCTGCTTTCACTGTATTTGATGTCGGTAAAATTTGTGGAGGGGAAGAGGAAAAACAAGTCATTTAAATAGGGATACATGTGGACCTGTTGCAACAATGAGAAATACAAGTTGTCATGTCGAAAATGAACTTTACAACTTTCGTGAGGGGAGGGTGGGGGGGCGGGGGGAGGCTGGGAAGGGATGGGAAGGGAAAACTGAGGAGGAGGCAACAATGCTTGATAAGAAATGTACTCATTATCTTGCCCATGTAATTGTAACTCCTCTGTACAGTATTTTCACAATAAAATAAATAAATAATAAAAAAGTGCCTGCTGAGGAAGCAAAAAAAAGTACCAAGATATATTAGATCCTAATTAAACTTTTAATAATATTTAATACCATGAAGTAGCTTCTCTGTATGATAGATAAAGTATAGTATATCCATACAATGAAATATTATTTAGCTTTAAAATGGAGTTCTGCAGTATGCTACAGCATAAATGAAATTTGAGGGCATTAATGATGCTAAGTGAAATCAGTCAGTCACAAAGAGTAGATAATTCCAATTAGATGAGGCACCTAAAGTAATAAAAATCAGAGAGACAGAAAGCAGAATAGTGGTTTCCAGAGGCTAAGGGAGGAGGGTATAATAGGCACTGCTGCTCAATTTGTATAGTTTCAGTTTTACAAGATGAAGAGAACTAATGGTAATGGTTTCATATCATTTAAGTATATTTAATACCACTGGACTGTTAAAAGTTAAGATATCTGGGCACAAGTGGCTCATGCTTATAATTTTAACTATTCAGGAGGCTGCAATCTGAAGACTGAAATGACAATCTGAAGCCAGGCTTGGCACAGAAGTCTGTGAGACTTGCATTTCCAGTTAACCACCAAAAAGCCAGAAGTGGCACTGTGGCTCAAGTGGTATTTCTCTAGTCTTGAGCACAAAAGCTAGGGATGGTATTCAGGACCTGAGTTCAAGCCTCAGAACTGACACAGACACACGAAAAATTATCAAGATGGTGTATGTTATGTGTATTTCACTATAATAATTTTTTAAAAACTAAAGTTAGGGGCTTACATGTAATAACTCACACCTGTAATCTCATCTACTTGGGAGGTTGAGATCCAGCTCAAGTTTTTGATCCAAGGTCAGTTATTACAGCTAAATGACAGGCTTGGAAATGTATTAGCTAGATAAATAAGCTGAGCATGATGGTACAACACTGTGATTGAAGCTACCTGGGGGATCATAGATAGGAGGATCACAGGCTGAGTCTAGACTCCAGCAAAAATTAGAACCCTACGTGAGAGGTAAAGTAAAAAAGGGCTGGGCGAATGGCCCCAGTGGAAGAGTGCCTGCTGAGCAAGGAAACCAAGCTAGGATGAAGCACTGACTTCAGACCTTCGTGCTGCCCTCCATTTTTAAAAATTAGTATTAGAATTTAGATCCTAAGTTACTCTATTTTAATTTTTAAAGACAATTTTAGGTGTTTATATAAATAAGTGCACAACAAATTCAATTGCCCATTACCTAGACTGAGTAGTTACCAAAAATTCATCACATTTGCTTTATCTCCTTACTTTCCATAATCGTTTTTGAAATTAGTCTTTTATTCTTACATATGTTAGTGTACCTATATAAGTATGTAAGCATGTTCATACCTCTAAGAAGGTGTTTTATCGCATAAGCATATCTGATGAAAGTAGAAACATTTTATTTCATTATCAAAGCTCACTCAAAACCAAATTTCTCCATAGTCTCAAAAATATCAGTTGGTTTTCTTTGAATCAGGACTGAAAATCATATGTAGTTATATCTTCTGAGCCTCTTAATTCAGAAAAATTTTTCCCAGTTTTATTTTGCCTGTGATTGTCTGTTTAGACTTTTTCTATAGATATTCAGCATTCTGAAATTTTCCAATCTTCCATTGTAAACTGACTTGTTCATCTCTACTATGTTGTCTACTATATTCACCACTAGTGGCTATGCAGCACTTAAAATGTCTAAATTGTTGCCTAACTTGAGGTGTGCTGTGTAAAATACAAAACAGAATGTACAGAATAAAGTAAGATATCCCACTAGTAACTTTTTATATTGAGTATTTGTAAAATAATATTTTGGATATACGTGGTTAAATAAGTACAATATTATAATAAATTGTGTCTGCTTTCTCATGTGATTACATATGTAAGCCCTGATCTATAAACTTTCTATTCTAAGTCACCTAGCTTTATTAACATCAAGCCCCAGTAGGCATGTAGGATCAGAATCTGGAGTTTTAACAAGATCCCTGGGGGATCAAGTGACTCATTAAAGTTTGAGAACTGCTGTTCTGGTAAGTAGATCCTCTTAACTCTAAATTAGTGATTCTCAATTCTGGTTGTACCTTAGTGTACAACCAGAGAAATTATTATTTTTTTTCTAATGAGGATGCCCACCAGACCGAGCCTTACCTCCACAGATTGTGCTTTAATTGGTGATAGGTGGGACCCAGGTAAGTTGTGTTTAAAAAATACTCTAGTTGTCTCACTTGTAAACGATTCTATGAGTGAACAGTGGATTCAGATGGTGACAACCTGATTTCACCTTTGTGAAAATTCACATCATTAGCCTTTCAGAGTCATATTACCTACAATAATTGATTGACTAGGTTTATGAAAGTGATTGTTACTTCTTCCACATTTAGAGATAGAATTATGTGAAAAGAACTTCCCATCATCACTTAGGGCTATTGGGAATAATATTCTGTAAGAATATTATTGATTTCATCTAATAACAGATGCTGGTGGGGATATAGCCAAAAAGGAGCACTACTACACTGTGGTATTAGTACAAACTTGTTCAGACAATTCTGGAAAGCAATATGGAGGTTCTCAAGAGACTAAACATAGAGCTCCTCTATGACCCAGCAATCCCACTTCTGGGCATTTAACCAAATGACCACAAACAAGGCCATACTGAAGCTACCAGCACAACTATGTTTATCACAGCATTATTCACCATAGGTAAAATATGGAACCAACCCAAATCTCCCTCAGTAGATGAATGGATCAAGAAGATGTGATATATGTACACAAGGGAGTTTTATGCTTCCATCAGAAAGAATGACATTGCCCCATTTGTAAGGAAACGGAGAGACCTGGAAAAATTATACTAAGTGAAAAATAGGTTGTATGGTTTCCCTCATTGATAATAACTAGAATATGTCTATAATCTTAACAGAGGATCTCAACAGCCCAATTGCTAAGTGCATAGGACCATATCTAGTGAAGCATATCAACATGAACTCCAAGAATTGGAAACAAGAGGTTCTTATTTTGTCCTGTATGCAGTTATATCCTTTTCCCCCTCTGTTTTAGTTTTCTCTACCCTTTGTCTTGTATATAAGTTTATCTGATCCATGGAAGGGAAAGAGAATCAGAAACAGCAGGACAAAGGATAGACTAATGCAACAATTATACTCACTAGACACTATGTTGGAAATGAACTTTACAATTTGGGGAGATGGAGGCGAGTGGGGAGTGGTTAAAGCAGGAGAAAATGAGGGAGGTGGTAATAGTGTTTTAAAAGAAATGTTCTCATTACCTTAATCATGCAACTGTAACCCCCTGTTTACAATAAAGATGAAAAAACAAAAGAATATTATTAATTTTCAGAAAATGATAATAATGTTCTAATTCTTTCTAATGGTTACCAATAAAATGAAACGTCTTTGTTTTTCTTTCTTTTATTTTTTAAAGAAGTGATTATGCTTGTGCAAATTCCTTAAAGTGATGTAGACAATTGATAAGACTGTGGGAAGGGTGAATTTGGCAGGCAAATAAATATGCATGGGGCATGGGTGGCTTATGCTTGTAATCCTAGCTATTCAGAGGCTGAAGTCTCAAGATCATGGTTGAAAACCAGGATCCATACTTCAAAGCCAGCCCTGGTAGGGAAGTCTGTAAAACTCCAATTAACCACCAAAAAGCCAAATGTGGAGCTGTGGGTCAAAAGTTAGAATACTAGCCTTGAACACAAAAGCTCAGAAACCGTGCTCAGGCCCTGAGTTCAAAAATAAAAATAAACAATAAGAAAAAACATAGCAGTACAAATAGGAAACTGCATGATGGCTTCTCATCACCCAAACGGAAAGCAAGTGTTGTGTACCTTGGAAGTAGAATATGTGGACAGTGTCAATGAGAATGAGACTGCTTATTGCCATTCTTGGAATCCACGTAGTTTCCAGTTTCATATAGATTTTTGTTACAGATGGCAGTAATATTAGCTGATTTTCTGGATTTTTAAAGGCAAATAAGAAAATCTCAAAGATATCAAAGTCTAGCAAAAAAATGGATATTTAACTGTTTGGATGTATGTGTACATACATACAGCAACAGAAGCAGATACACTTTATGGGTAGTACAAGAATAATGGTCCACAGAAAACATCACTATGAAGCTGACATCGAAAGAGGATTAGTTAGGTGTTCCCTATGTGACACAAAAGAAGAAAAGAGGTACAGGATTCTAGATAAAGAGAAGAGTACAAAGAAACATGAGTGCAGAGCCTCCTCTGATTAAAAGAAGTAGAATAAGGTTTATAGTAGTAATAGAAGCAAAAGTATCATTGACACTTTCTATTAAGAAAATGTGCATTCCTACTTATCCTGTACATTATTAAAACAGAAGGATAAATATATTCTCTCTGATGTGTCATAGTCATGTAAGTTATAAATTGTCACAAATTGAATTTTAGCAAGTTGTTTAATACATAATTTGATTGTGGAATGCTATTTTAAACAGAAATGGTAAATAACTGAATTTGTTTCTCTTTTAAAACAATGTGATATTTTCCACCTGAAAAGCTACAAAGAATATACAATGAAACTTGCTATTGGTTGAGATGGGGTCCCGTGAACTTTTTATCTGAGCTTGACTCAGACTTACTCATTTCCACCTGCAGAATAGGAGTAAGTAGGATGATAGCATGAGACATTGGTGCCAGGCAAAAAGAATAGTCTCTTAGAATATATTCTCACTGACTTTTGCCTGCCTTTTAGTATTTAGTCTGAGACAAAACCAAGTACTTTCATCAGATAGTGTTTCTTTGTGGACATTATGGAACACGTTTTTTTGACACCCACAGTTACCATGTGAAATCAGTAATATTCTTCTGTAGTCTGTTAGAGACATGTAAATGTAAATATTAGTAGAATTCTTTGTAGTTAGAGGGGATAAATTGGTTGGTTCTTTTTAGCATAGAATTCTGTTGCTAGCACCTCAGTCCTGTCTTTTACCATCCACAACAGGACTGCTGTCTGTGAATGTTGGTGATAGGCACCCTACATTGCCCTGCTTGTGGCTTGATATAGGAAGGCCATGGAGTTCTATTGAGGATGCATGTTGCCTAGACAATGTTAAAGGCCATTTAGAGGTAGAAAAAGACCTTCGCTTTGAAATTTAATCAATTCAGTGTTAATAGTCTCATAACAATGATCAGTTGATTCAAATTAGTGAAAATTTGACACAAATTTAATTCTTTTACAAGTTGTTATTCATATAGAGGAGTTTAATGAAAATTAAAGAAAACCATGAGTTGTTATAATGACTTCATTCCATAGCTGAAATATTTCAAGTTGATAAATTGTTTAGTGCAGTTGTCATTGATTCAGTAATTTTCATGAAGATTTATTTATAGTCATTTCCGTCAAAAAATAATTGTAAGAATCTTACAGCTTTTTCCCTCATGGTCTTTCTTTAAAAAAGAACATTTGTTTGTCTTTTGTTTATTTTATTGCTTTTACACATTGTTTCTGAGTTTGTTTTATTTTGTTTTGCCAATCCTGGAGCTTGAACTCAGGACCTGGGCACTGTCCCTAAGCTTCTTTTTGCTCAAGGCTAGCACTCTACCATTTGAGTTACAGCGCCACTTCTGGCTTTTTCTGTTTATGTGGTACTGTGGTATCTAACCCAGGGCTTCATGCATGTGAGGCAAACACTCTACCACTAAGCCACATTCCCAGTCCTGTTTCTGAGTTTTAAAACCAGAAAAATCTTTCACATAGAATCTTTCTTCTATATTGAAGCTAGCCTCCAATAGCCTGTTTCTTTAAGATATCAGTATTGTTAGTTACAATGTAAATTGCTGCTGGATCTTTTAGTACTTTTGTAATAATATCTGTGGAAAGGAAAGAAGTATCTTCATTAGTACTGACTGGTTATAGCTAGCACAGAAAGAATGAAAAGTGCCTTCTACATATTGTCATAGTCCCAACCAGTCTTGCTGTAGTTCTGATGACAGACTATTATCATACCATTAGGTTCCCCTGCCATTGTAGAAGAGTGAAGATAAAAGCACTCACCATCTTAATATTCACAGGACTGTGCTAAAGAATAATGATTTAAGATCAAGACAAGAGTTAACTGCCCACCTCACCAACCAGTGGCCTTCCCCAGGAGCTCTGGATGTCAATGCTGTTGCCTTGGATACGTTGCTTTACCGAAAACACAATAAACAGTGGTATGAGTAAGTGTAATACTTTTTTTCCACCCTAATTACAAATTTAGTTAGTTGTACCAAAACATTTGGCTCTCCACTTTGGTGTATTAGTTATTCTTAGTAATTTTTTATTATCTTAGAGAGAAGTTAGGTTTTGGGACTATTTTGATAAAAATTTTTTTTTAAAAGTTAATTACGAACACTTTGAAACCAAGGCATCCTGGGGAAGTAAAATATCTGAGAAAATTTTCTGAAATATTATTGTACAGCTGTCTTCTCCATTAGTTAAATATTCAGCCAGTCACTTTATATCAAGTATACCTATGAGCTTGTGTTTAATGAGCCAACTATTTTTTAATCTTAGTTTTGGTATTTTATTTGCCCAGAATTAATTTCCCTTCTTGTTACAAAATGTAAAATACCATGTCCTGAGAGGAAACAAAGATATATATATATATGTATATATATGTATATATATGCATATATATATAATAGAGATCTTTATATGTATACAGATAGATACATCTATACATACATAGTTACATAGATATCTATATGTAGATCAATAAATATATATAGATATACCTGTCTATATCTCACTCTTCATATATATAGACATATATTTTTCTTGGTGGATCTGAAAGAGTACTTACTTTCAAAAATTCCTAATTTTAAAAGATAGAGAACATTTAATCATTCCACCTATAGTCTAAGACCCTTTTCCTATTTCTTTATCCTAATTATCTGTAGTATTTTCCTTAGTAATAATCTCTTTTTTTTTTCTGGGGGGTCCGGTCGTGAGGCCTGAACTCTGGGCCTGGGCACTGTCCCTCAGCTCTTCAGCTCAAGTCTAGCGCTCTACTAATTGAGCCACAGTGCCACTTCTGGCTTTTTTCTTTTTGTTTACGTGGTGCTGAGGAATCGAACCCAGGGCCTCAGGCATGCAAGGCAAGCACTCTACCACTGAGCCACCTTCCCAGCCCTAGTTATAATCTCTTGATATTGAGTGATTTACAAAATCTTTTTTTAAATTTTATTTGTTTATTGTGAAAATACTGTACAGAGGGTTTACAATTACATGGGCAAGATAATGAGTACATTTCATATCAAGCATTGTAGCCTCCTCCTTTGTTTCCCCTTCCCATCCTCTCCCCGCACCCCCACCCAAACCTCCCTGATTTACAAAATCTTAACCTTCATTTTGAACATCACAAATTGCATTACGTTTTTGGATTTTAGCTACTTTTACATTTTATTAATTTGTTTTCACTGTATTTTTCTGTCCAGTTAATTTTGTATTTTCCCTGATATCCTTTCCTCCCTTTGTTCCCTTTCTTTTCTTTTCCTTTCCTTTCCCTGTTTTTGTTTCTCTCTTCTTTTTCATTGTTTTTAAATGTCACTATGTTTCTTAGGCAATGAGTTACTATTCATTTTTGTCTGTTGAGCATGGATACTTATTTTAATGACTCCTAAACTCAGTTACTTCAACAAGAAAAGTTTTGGCAGACTTACCTTCTACCTGCCTTTTTTTTCTTTCTAGTACTGGAGTTTGAACTCAGTCTCATGCTTGCTTAGCTGGCACTTTACAACTTGATCCCCGTTTTTTTGCTGGTTATTCTGGAGATGGAGTCTGTCCGACTTGTCTGCATATTCTGGCTTTGAACCATAATCCCTTGAGTAGATAGAATTGTAGGTGTGAATCACCAGTGCTCAGCTTCCCACCTTCTCACTTTCTTTATTCTGTGTCTTTTTGCTGCTGCTGATTATCAAAGGTAGAATTTAAAATAAGTTTGACTTTGTGTTGTTAAAAAAAATTTTTAGAGAATTTTGTGCTTTTTCTTGTTTCACTGATTATTAGAGAAACATAGTGGTAAACAGATTGTTAGTGGGATAAATCAGTAGATGCCTTATACTCTAATTCATTCTTCTCACTATGATTTAAGATGTTGACTTTGGATATTTCATACAGGTAGATCTATTTCCTTCACATATCCTTATGAAAATTAGGTGTAACTAATATGTATCATATGCTGTTTATACCATTACCCCCTGTTAGGATAATATTCTTTTGTTTCTATGTATGATTGAAAATTTTAATTTACAGAGATATTTGGTATACTATTTTACATGTTATGCTCCTGCTTTTTAACCAAAAATTGTGACAATATTAATTATTGGAAAATTAAAAGATTGTGTCTTTTTAATTGCAGTATCCACAGTGTCATGTTAAAGAGTAGGTGAAGTATTTTAGCTAGCAGAGGTATACTCTTAAGTGTCTATAAATTTACCTCCCTAATTTAAAGAGTCAATAAAGAGTCCTATAGGGAATATTTATTTCTAGTTTCTATACCTCCTGGTGACTAATGTTATAGGTGTGAACCATTGTACCCAGCCCTGATTTTATCTTTCATCACTCAGTTATTCCTTTAGGAAGGGACCATCCCTTTCTTTCCGTAATCATCTTCTATTCTGACTTGACCTTAGATGTTGGTATTGCTTTTAGGTGGTCCTGTTTCTAAACTGATATCCTTGAATGTAAAGCATATAGCTAGCTGGTAAAAGTTCAAAGATGAATGACCTACACTTAAAAGATGGTAGTAAGCTAGACTGAGATATGGCTTAAGTGGTAAAGCACCAGCCAAGGAATCATAAGACCCTGAGTTCAAACTTGATACCAGCAACAAAATAAAAATAAATTTCAAAATAGAGAATATAGGTATTATGCTTTAGCAAATTTTTATTTTGTTAATCATTTTTAGGAAGAAAGGAATCTTAAAATAGTATAACTCTGCCTCTATGTACATGCATATACTTTTCTGCAGATAATATATATGTATGTATGTATATATACATATACATACATACATATATATTTGTTTTTATTTTCCACCTGACCTCAGCAAATGTTTGGGGAAAATGCATGGCATAGATTGTCCACATTATTATTATTTTCTAATTTTTATTTTTTTATTTTTGATCTGTAGTGGGGCTTGAATTAAGGGCCTAGGCAATGTCCCTGAGCAATTTAGCTCAAGGCTAGTGCTCTACCACTTTGAGCCACAGTGACACTTCTGGTTTTTCTGGTGGTTAATTGGAGATAAGAATCTTATGGAATTTCCTGTCTGGGATGGCTTTGAACCATGATCCTCAGATTTCAGCTTCCTGAGTAGCTAAGATTACAGGCATGAGTCACAGGTATCCAGTTCACATTTTTTTTAAATAATTGATACAAAGTGCATGATATTAAAACCATCTGTGCGGCAGATGCTTTTATTCCTCAGCATCCAAGAAGGTAAGTAAGGCAAAGAGGATTGAAGTTGGTGGCTGAATAGTGAGTGATAGGCCTGTGGCTATATAGTGAGACCCTATCTTAAAACAAATGAAGGGAAAAAGGAAGATTATGGGAAAATAAGAAATGAGCTCAGGCCAATTGCTTAATTTCTTTGAACTGGCCCTTTTGGGTATGAATGGAGCAAATAGTTTGCTATTGAATGTAGATTTTATTATATGCTAAATACCCATAACATATGACATAATTCCTAAAAGTTTGATTGATCTGTAACAATGTAATAACCTATATTAACAAATTTTTGTGCAGTCAGAATGTGTAATTCTTAGTTTTTTGGGTTCTTATTTTGAATGAGTTAAAGTACTGAAATTTAAATTTTTTATTTAACAACCATCAATAACTGTTTATTGGATTAATAAGTCTGGTGGGTTACATTTAAATGTAAGTGGGTGGGGTGTTATTGAGTCTAAGCTAGGACATACTCTTGGCCTTTTAAAAATATCACTAGGAGCCGGGCTCCAGTGGCTCATGCCTGTAATCCTAGCTACTCAGGAGGCTGAGATCTGAGGCTCATGAGTCATAGCCAACCTGGGCAAGAAAAGAAATGTCCATGAGACTCTTATCTCCAATAAACCACCAGAAAACTGGAAGTGGTGATGTGGCTCAAGTGGTAGAGCCTTTAGTTGAAGAGTTGAGGGACAGCACCCAGGCCCAGAGTTCAGGTCCCACAACCGACAAAAAATCACTAGGTACAACACATAAAAGATAATAATTTTTTTTAAAAAACAGCCATTGAGTGGCTCATGCTTGTCATCCTAGCTACCCAGGAAGCTAACATCTGTAGGGAAGTTGTGGCTTAAGTATAGAGTACCCAGCCTTGAGCAAAAAAGATCAGGGATAGTGCTCAGGCTCTGAATTCAGAACCCAGCACCAGACTGGTGATAGATAAATAAATAGATCGATCGATCGATCGATCGATAGATAGATAGATAGGCACTTTCTTATATGGATAGCTTATTACATAACAAAATGTCAGATGGGGTCTCATTGGAAATCAGGTAAGAATGTACAAGTCAGTCATTCCTTGCCCTACTGAAAGCAACTGAATCCATATTTTTCTCCCAGATGGTTGGTTAGTAGTCATCTTCAAGCAAGGAAGCTATATTTTAAGGAAGCTATATTCAATGTCTTGTGAATAACTACTTAATTAGAGGTTGACAATTTTATTAATCCTCTTATCATTGTCTTCCAAATTTTATTTCTAATACTTATTGGCAGTTGATTACTTAGTCTATAAAGTCAAAGATATTTCTCTTTCACAAACTGAAGGTTAGAAGGTTCAAAATCACTTTAGATTTGCCTGTCTGATATTCCAAAAGGAACTTCTGTAGTCATATTCTCAGTCTTACAGTATACAATTTCACAATTTTTCCTTATAGGTGTTTTGTTGTTTTAAATACATTTTTGGCACTACTGGGTACTGGTGGGCAAGTTCTATACTGCCTAAGCCAGGTTCCTAGTACTTTTTGTGCTTTTCAAAATTTGTTTCCCAAGTAGGATCTTGTGTTTTTATCCATTGAACTTGGACCATGATTCTCTTACGTCAGCCTTCTCAGTTGTTGGAACAACAGGCATATGCTAACATGTGCCCATCATGTTTATTAGCTAGGGTCTTATTCAATTTTTTGCCTCTGCTGGCCTTGAATCATTATCCTTTCTCTACCTCCAAGTAGTTGAGATAACAGGTGTATACAGCCACACCTGACTGGTTTTCTTATTGTTGTTGTTTTTAGTGTTTTTTTTTTCATTTGAGACTGCATCTTATTATACAGTCCAAGCTGTCCTGGAATTGTCTGTATAGTGTAAGCTACTTGTCTCAAACTTTCCATCCTCCTGCCTCTGTCTCCCAAGTGCTGGGATTGCAGGTATGTACCACATGCTTTGTTTGTAAACACTTCCATGTATAATTTTTATTTAAAAGATTTAAGTTTCAAATGATGAAATACCACTGTTGGAAACCAAACTTAAGCCATCCACTTAAAAAGCAAAGCAAGCCTCTTTTGAGGGCATAAGAAAATATTGTCCCCTCTTATCCTCACTTGTGAATAATAATTTTTAAAAGTTGGGTGTGTTGTAAGAACTCAAAATTCTCACCACAGAAATCTAAAAATCAAGTATGTCATTTACAATAGGGCTCATTTTCTGTTCAATTTCTCTGAGTGCTGAGTAAATCTAGCTGTGTGAGACATTACTTTGGCTAAACCCAGCAAAGTGAACATTTATAAATGCCATGTATAGTCATTTAGGAAGTCTTCATGCACACACACACACACCCCACATGACGTTAGATTCTACTAAAGTAGAATTTTCATTAATATTTTTGAAAAAACTGTAGAAAAGTAACATTTATAATTGCCCATTAGGTTCCTATGATGTTTTCTTTTCTAGCTAAGAACTATGGTTTTAATGAAAATCAGGTAAAATTTCCAATGATATGATTACTTTAAATCATTTACTAGGTCTATCTTTGAGAAAAGTTTCAAAAGATAGGAAGCCTAGCCATTCCTCCTATACTAGAACAGTGATAAGGTAGTAATTAAGGGTATAGAATCAGAGCCAGGCTACTAGGTTGAAATTGGTTTCTTCTTCTATAAAGTGAAAATAGTTAATAATTCCAACTATTAGGATACTTGTGCAAATCAGATAACTTAATACACATATATAATGTAGAACTGGGATTGTACAAGTGTTTCATAAATATTTTATTTGGGGGGTTACTTGGGTTTGAACTTAAGCCTTACGTTTGCTAGCCAGGTATTCTACTCTTGCTCTTTACCTGGGCTATCCTAGTCTTCATTTTTATGTTTACTACCATAGCTGTGATGACAGGCACATGCCACTTTTCTTTAATTTTTTTCTTTTGTAATGGGGCAAGGTGAGGAGGTTATCTCACAGACCTTTTTGCCTGAGCTGGCCTATAACTTCAATCTTTTTGATCTCAGCCTCCCTTGTAGCTGGAATTTCAAGCATGTACTACCATACCTAGCTATTGGTTCATATGGGCTTTTGCAGACTTTGTTTCCAGGTTGGTGATGAACCGTGATCCTTCCAATAACCATTTCTGAATTTTAGGTATGAGTCACATGACCCAGCATGGGTTTTGTTTTTATAAATGTGTAACATGTAGCTTGTGGAAGCACTGTTTATCAAGAGGTTTTTCTATAATAGTAGAACTGTCTGCGGCTCAACAATTATCATTAACAGCTTTTATACTCTCCAAATTTGAAAAGTCCATCATCTCATTCGTTCTTCACTTCTTAGAGAAATAAACCCAATACCTGTTATTTGTGCTATCACTGTGACATCTATAGTGTTTTATCTTAATAAGATTGATGAGGAATAACTTTTAAAAGATGATTTGACAAAAAACTACTGTTTTGGTTAAAAAAAAGATTATGGCAAATGCCTTTTCTGTGTTTTTGTTTTAAATTTTGGCTACTGTTAATTTGGCTTTAATAAAAAAAAAGTTTTCTTAAGCTGGGCACCGATGGCTCACGTCTGTAATCCTAGCTACACAGGTGGCTGAGATCTGAGGATCACGGTTCAAAGCCAGTCCGGGCAGGAAAGTCTGCGAGACTCTTATCACCAATAAACCACTAGAAAAACGGAAGTGGTGCTATGGCTCAAGTGGTAGAGTGCTCTTCTTGAGCTGAAGAGCGCAGGGACAGTGCCCAAGCCCAGAGTTCAAGCCCCACGACCGACCAAAAAAAAAGTTTTCTTTTTCCTCATTTTGGATAGAACGTTAACATAGTATCTGGCCATAAGTACTCAAACCATATTTAATAACAGTTACCTTTGGTAAATCTGTAGCTTTCCATTTATACATGAATTATCATCAAATATAGTTATAAATTAACATAATCAGAAAAGGGATGCAAAACAGCTGTTGCTATAACTTAAGTATGATAAATACTATGGTTGTGCAAATGTTTTTAATTGTATTCTGACTTGTAATCTTTTGGATAAATGCCCAAGAATAGTAATGCTGGATCATAACATACTTTTATGTTGAGCTTTCTGAGGAATATCCAAACTGCCTTCCACAGTGTTTGCAACACCTGACATTACCACCATCAGTGTAACAGGGTTCCTTTTCCCTTTTATATTCTTGATGATGGACATTATTACTGGTGTGAGATGGAATGTCAAGGTTGTTGAGAATTTATGGGCAGAAACGTTGAGCGTTTCTTCATAAATTATTGACCATGTTTACTTCTGAGAAGTCTTTATTTAGCATCTTTGCCCATTTACTAATTTGGTTATTGATTCTTTGAAAGTTTAGGTTTTTAAACTACATTTTTCAACCTTCTAAATTATAGGAATTTATCTAATTTTGTTTTGTTATTATGTAATAGGTGTAGTGATAATAAGACATTGAAGAATTCTGAAGTTCTTGAGACAGTTGGTCATTATTAAATTAGACCAATTTTGTTTCTTCATTTGGAATAATCTGTAGATGCTATAGATTTTTGAAAATTACTAATGACTAAAATAAAAGTTCCTAATTTCAGTCATCTGGATTATTACAAACTGATGTGAGGATTTTAATTTGTTTGATAAATTATTTTTCTCTTAACATTGTCTAATGAGTAAAACTAGATATACCTCCAAAGCAGGTTGGGAGCAAAAGTGTAATTGCGATCATACTGAAACTAAGATAATGGCAAAATTCAAGATAAATCTTGGGATAAAAATAACCAGAAATTTAATTAGTTTTTAATCAGTCTCTATTTGGGGGAGAAGAAATGTAAGACTTAATATTATCCTTATTTTATAGGAAAAGTTATCAAAGTCTTGACCAGTTATCAGCAGAAGTTAGCCTTTCTCAGACTTCGTTGGATCCAAGCCATTCACAAGAAGGTGATGGAAAACAAGACACATTAAATTTAGTCAATGAAGGTAAAACAAAAATCTATTTTAAAGTTATTTTTAGTATTATCTATATTTTGATTGCAGAAATTTCCAGCAAATAACAATGACCTTTCTATAATGCATGCTAGAAATTAAGCTGCCTTTGCAATGAAAATTGGTCTTCCCTTGTTTCTTTCTCATATTTGTGTCCTTCTCAGAACGTATGTATAATTGTCTCCCTCATTTCCTCATTTCTTATATGTTTTTACTACTCCAATTGGTATGTATATCTCTTCACTTTACTAACATGACCTTTATCAAGTGCTCAATGACTGTCAAATTGCTAAAGTCAGTTCTTTGTCTTCATTCTTCAAGAGTGTGTAAATATGTTATATATGTACATATATGTGTGTATATATAATATATACACACATATATGTACACACATAATGGATTGTTATTCAGCCATAAATAAGAATGACAACTTCAAAGAGTTTATAGTGTAATAAAATAAAAGAGAAGCTTCAAAAACTTCAAAGAGTTTATAGTCTAATAAAAGAGGGACTCCCACATTTACCATACAGAGTAACAGGTAAGTACAAATGACTATGGGACATTTTGGGAGGACTATTTGAAGTAATATATAATAGTCAGAAATGTCTGATATCTCTAGCTCAGCTTACATTTCCATAACAGCATGACTAAAACCTAACTTATCTTTTGTCTTTGGAAACCTGCTAATTTTCAAATGCCTTAGCCATTCATGGCTTTGTGTCTGCCACTTATAGCTGGTATTTGTAGACAGTCAGTCCTGAAAAGAACTTGCTTTATCTCAGCCATTATACCATTCATCTTTCATGGTTCTAAGTCACTGAATGAACTACTCAGTAAGTGAATAGTCTCTTGAATACTTCAGTTTGGGTTAGGGCAGTCCAATCTGACTAGGATCAACTGAAATTACTTAGCCAAAGTAGTTACTTCCTAGTTTTTCTCTGGCATGAGCACTGTTAACTGATTGGTAGTTGAATAGTTTTTTTTCTTTTACTAACCATCTGGAAATGAACATGTTTATCATTTTTTAAAGGTAAAATTTAAATCTTGCTTGAAAGTAAGGTATTTCAAATATCCATTATCTATAACTTTCAATAGAAACACAATCTTGTGTAGTATTTTTAAAGCTTATGCTATATATGCTGAAAGGTCAAGTTATCTTTGGATACAAATCTTTGTCTTCATAGTTAATATTTTCAATATCTTACAAATTGTGGAAAATTTCTCCTAGCGTCTCATCCTGAAGGCTATTGTTATTTTATCATAATTTTCAGGTAAAGAAGACACTCCCTCATTACTTGGTCTCTGTGGGTCTCTAACATCAGTGGCAAGTTATAAGTCTTTAACAAGCCTAAAATCTAATGACTACCTAGCAAGTCCTACAGCAGAGATGACAAGTCCTGGCCTAACTCCATCCTGAGAAAACTTTATGTAAAAACCAAAAGTTTCTATATTGTAAATGTTCAGTTTACATAAGTTTGACTGCTGGGAGGCCTTTGAATTTTTATATTGTTCTGGTACTTGTTTGAAATTCTGTTGCTTAGAGTTCAGTCCACTCATATAGACAGACTTCTGAGCCAAAAACACAATGGGCCCTGCTATTTTTCTTTTAAAAATCTTGTACTTGCCATAGAGGAAGTTCAAAATTGAAGAGGCTTTAAAAAACTTTCAAAGATCCTTCAAATGAAAAATTCTTTGCAAGTTGTACATAGGTATTATTTAACTGATTTTTATATGTTGGTTTAAGTGTATCTTGGTAGCCACAGACTGAGTTCAAAGTTTGATTCCAGGGATTTATGCTAAATAGTTCCTTTCACCCTCTTATTCAGCGAATAATTTTTTCATTTTTTCATGATACAGTCTAACTTCTAATGTTTTCACGCCATGTATTCCTGGGGGAAGTTCTTAGATGCAGCTTCACAATGACTGTTTAGTTTTCCTTTTACACTGATCATTTGATACCAACAAAACATTTTCTAAATTTTGTGGGAATGTGCTTTTTAGGCAGTTACTAACTTAATTTGTAAGGGTTATAGGGAGCGTATTTTATATTAGTGAAAAATAAATTTATTACCTTTGTTTTTGTGAGATCTTCTTTAGACATCATCAATGTTAGAATGTGGTCAATGATGCCTAAAAAGATGGAAATGTTTCAAAATGTAGAATAAATGTCCAAAAACTGTTATGACAGAAAATATTGCAAGTTTGGCTTATCTGAGACACTTTTAAACAAAGATAACTAAAATAACCATCATATTTAATAATAAACATGTCTGACATACAGTGGTATTTCTTTCTCCTTTGTGAATAACAATAAATCATGTCATGCACATTTTATAGCCTTTATCATTATGCCATGTCATTTTAAAACTGATGTTAATGTTTTAAAAAATGTCCCTACACTTCTATAGGTAGTTTTTTTTAATATAATCTGTATTTTAAATCTTTTTGCAGTTTTTGAAAGAGCTACATTTGTCCCTAAAGATTCCACCATATTGAAAATGAAAATATATAAAGTATATTTTCTATAGTAAGTAATATGAGGAAAACGTGATCAGTTGTGCCAAAGAAATTTTATACATTGTTTACATGAAGAGGCCACAATACTTACCTGGGACTTCATATGATATTTTTGTTTAATAAAACATTGTATTCAAAATAGCTTTGATGTGTAGGAAGAAGTTCCTTATAATACTTTTTATTTGAAGAAAGCTGAACCTACTATATTTGTTGTTTTTGTTAGAAATGTCAGAGTGTGATGGTTCTCTGTAATATTTCTAGCTTAGTCTGATAATTTGGTATAGAAAATAATCAATAGCAAGGAAGCAGCCTTTAGGTCAAACAGTCCAAACACTGTGATTTAGGGAGAAGAAAGCCTGCAAACCCTTAAAATCATTTATCTTAGATGTGCCAGAGCATACTCAGCAGAGATTTATTCCTTTAGCTTAAAGCTTTACAACTTGCAGAAGTGCAAATATTCTTGAGAAGTGATACCTCTAATCATTTGAATAATTGCATATTTTACTTGAGAGTGAGAAATCCAAAGAAGTTTTTAATCAGCATGAGAGATGGGAGGAAGTTATAAAATGAAGACAGGAGAAACCAGGAGGAAAACTGAGAAGGAAATGGATTAGAAAGAGAACTTTGAATCCTTTAGGCTGGCCTTGAACCCTACCACTGCATTCCTAGGAACTGTCAGAATGTCTAAATGCTTATCCTTCACGTTCCACTCACAACTGACATTTATGATTCTTTCCAATTTACAAAAATGTTAAATTTTTCCATACATTTTTATGATGTAGAAGTAAATTCAAGATCACATAGTTTGTACACTATTTCAGATTTGTCTAATGAAAACAGTCATTTGTGCACGTAAACATGCCACTAGCTGTAGACTTAGACCACAGCTGAGGATCGTGACTTCTCCTTGGAGCTCTTGGCATCAAATTCATCTGCTATTGTGAAATTCAGGTTTCTATACAGTTCATTTCACTAGAGGTAGTTTTTAGATGTTTGCATGAGTAGACAATGTGTATCTTAATCTTTAATTTTAGGTGGCAGTGTTTTTCACACCCAATCTCCCAAAATAGAATGCTCAAATGTCAATATTTCCATGAGTATTTTGTTGCCTTGATGTACTATACTTGTTGCATGTATATTAAAGATTTTTATACCATGAATAATGATTTTTTTCATTGATTTAAATTGTACACTGAAATTTTAACAAATGTAGTAAATGAATTCACATCCAAAATAGTAATATGAAAATGATTTGAGAAATCCTTATTTCAATTCAAATACTCCTTTTTGTTTAAAAATAGTAGTACATAGCATAATGCTTCAGTGAAAGACCAAATATGTGACAGTGGTCCCAAACAATTGTACTGGAATTGAAAAATTCTTATTCCTTCATGACACTGATTTTTTTTTTCCAGTCCTGGGGAACTCTGGCCTGGGCACTGTCCCTTGAGCTTTTGCTCAAGGGATAGTGCTCTACCACTTGATTCCAACTCCATTTCTGGCTTTTTTGGTAGTTTAAAAGAGATAAGAGGCTCATAGATTTTCCTGCCAGGCTGGCCTCTAACTGTGATCCTCAGATCTCAGCCTCCTGAATAGCTAAGATTACAAGCATGAGCCACCGGCACCTGGCTATGTTCTTATTAGATTACAAGGACTAAAGCACTGAAGAAACTATAAGGGAACTCAAGAAGTTGTAGGCAAAATACAACAAAAAGCTATTCACATTCTATAAATCCTGTCACCTCTGACTACCAGGCTACCATAAACTGTGTACAGTTAAATGGACTAGACTATTATCTCCATCCAATCCAGAAGACACAATTACTTCTCATGGACTGCCCAACTATCTGCACTCGTCCTCTGCTTTGACTTATAAAGACCCTTATCTATAGTCAATATAGGTTGTTCCTACTTTCCTTTCCTAAATTGGGGTTATAAAATTGTTAGCTCTAGGTCTATTTGACATTTTCAAATTGCTATAGATCTTTGCTACTAAAGTTGTGGACATTTGCCCCAAGACCTGGTCCTTTTCCTGGCTGGACTCCAACAGCTCAATAAACACTACCTTATGCTCACAGTGACATTATATGGCCATCAGGTTTAACTGTATTATTAAGGATGAATTTGAAATTTGAGACAAATTGCTTCTCAAAGAAGTCTCTGGAAACTGAAGAAATATCCAGACATTGTCCATAGTGTTCTTGTAGGTCTTCTTACCAAAGCACATACTCCATTTCCTGGGTTAGAAGGAATATTTCCAGATTATCTTGCAAGTGCACAAAATAAGGGACTTGCTATCCCAATGCCTCAAGCACCCGTGCCGTGCTCAGGGCCCTTGGAGCATGTGGTGTGTCACACATAATCAGTGACATTTTCACTTCTTTTCCAGTGTGGATGCCTCAATAAATGTTGATAGGTTAGAACTAAAAGCACTGACCCCTTCCTCTTTTGTGTGTGCATGTGTGTATGTGTTGGTGCTTGAACTCAGGGCCTTGTTTTTTGCTCAAGGAAAACTATTCCTTGGACTAAGTTTATCCATACAGTCTTTTAGCCTTGGACTAAGTTTATCCATACAGTCTTTTAGAACACAATGAAGGTATTTTAAAGTAGTAATTCTTCTTTACCATGTAAGTATAGAGAAAATGTCTTTTCTTCTGAATATACCAAATATGCATTAGGAAAATTACCAAGGAGCTGGGCAGGGTGACACATACTGATAATCTCAACACCCAGGAAATTGAGGTAGGAGGATCATGTTTGAGTTTGAGTCTGGCTCAAGTATATACCCAGAGGTTATACACATTACTAAACAGTTTATTTAAATAAGAATTTCCTCAAATGTAGTACTGGACTCTTGAAATGGAAAATTTTCTGGGATTTATAAATTACTTTTCACTGAAATATGTATTTTCAAAGCATACTACAATTCCTACTTTTCCTACCTTAAAAAAGGTAAAATAAATGTTAATCAGCAGTGTAATAAGTAAAAATAAACTTTCATTTATACATTATAGCATTATATAAACGCTAAATAGAAGCAGGCATAAGTAGGCATAAAATATTTTAATAAATTATATAGGAAAATTATGAATGGATACGCACATTGACAATCTGAGATAAATAAACATAGGATGAAAACAAACAAAAAAGGTCACATATAAGCCTTACAGATTATTTCTGGTGAAGCACATAAATGCTTTACTAGTATAATACAATAGGTATTAATTTCTCCACACAAACTGCAAAAATTTAACACCAAAAAAAATTGTACTATTTTTGGAAGGAAAATTCTTTACATTTTTATAAATCACACAGAATGCAGTAAAGTGTTTTTAATAATATAAATCCTGAAAAAATTAAAAACCATTACAGATTATCTCTTGTCCTCCTGATATCATTTTTTCCCTCTTTTTTTTTGGTGTTGCTGGGGACTGAATTCATGGCCTCACATATGGGAGACAAACACTTTAGCTATAAGTTTATATCCCTTAGAATAATCACATTCTTTTTATTTAGTTATAAGTAAATTAAAACTTGGCCATATGTAATTTTTTGAAGGAATAGCTTTTTGTTTGATTTGTCCTATCAATATGAGACAGTGTAAAATCAAGGGAAATTTTGATTGTGTGACATTACAATATAGGTGTTCTCTCGCTCGCTCTTGCTTTCTCTGGCTTGAATTTTCTCTCTCTAGAGATTGAATTCAAGACCTCAGACATGTTAGCTTTCCCCTCCCTTTCTCTGTCAGTCCTGTGGCTTGAACTCAAAACCTCACACATGCTAGGAGGGTGCTATATACCACTTCAGCCACACTCAGCCCAAATATGTCTGTTCATTTAAGCATTTAATTTTCACATGTACCTATAGCTTGAAGGTAATTTTGTGCAATAAACTTTCCATGCTTGTATTTCATATGCTATTATCAGGTATGAAATTTCTCACTTGTGTTAAAAAATTCAGAATGTGGGTTTTCAGATTAAGAAGTTAGACCTGTAACAGTATCTATCTTGTTAGAGAAAGCCACAGAAATGAACTAATGACATCCATAAACAATGATAGGAAGATTACAAGTTTAAAAGATTAGAAGCTAGAAGCCATTCCTGTGCCCTATTTTCTTTACAGTAGTTTAAAGCAATGTAGATTTCAACGGCAAAGCCAAGTTTGAGTGAACATTTACTCATCAGTAAAACTCATTTTTTTATAGAAATAGCAGATAAGGGAGTTTAATTATCAAAAATGGTAAGATCTGCACCACACGAAAGATATTTTGGTTCATAAGATAAGATAGCCACATATTTACTCAGAGAAATACTAATTAATCTGTGTGAGGCCTTAAACAGTAACAATGGGGAGTAGTGGTAATGCACTGAGTTAAAGACATTAATAGGTAATATTTGGCAAATGTGAGCAGTATCTATATACATGATTTTAATGCATAAGATCTGTATATTCTTCTATACATCATTCAGCAAACCATTCAAAAGTTATAAGATAGGTGACATACAAGTTACACTGAAATGTACTATATAAAATTCTCAAGAGATTGTTTTCAATGCTAATGAACAATTTTCTTTAAGAAAGTGCTAAATGGTTGTGATTTCTGCTTTATCTTTCTAAAAAAACTCTAAGAATAAGAAAAATTATTTTAAAATTAAGCTTACGATTTAGAGGTAGATTATAAAGTATTACTAAATTAAACTACAGGGAAGGAAAATCAACTCATTGTGAGAGGATAACAGGGGCAAGGCCCCTACCTAGGACTGTGTCCTCTTTGGCTACTGTGACACTCCAGGTTTATGCATCATTCCAGTGGCTGCCTTCGAAGATTCTGCCTCAGGAAGAAAGCCTTTCCAAATTCATATGTACTAATCATGATGGCACACGCAGGAGCAACTTTAATTAAGCGAGGAATAAGACCTGAAAAAGAACGGAAAACCAGGAAATATAGCCTGACGTTTAAGAATATATCCAATTTGCTTTATTGAGAATGATCTAATGAAATGAAGTGAAATATAAACTTTTGTATCTTAAACTGACAGCAAAAACAAGATCAAACTGTTTAACTCCCAATGTCTACTTCAGAGAAATTTATTGTAATGCTAATTAATCTATTGCTATATAGCATTTCTATTAATTTATAGCAAAAATATTTAGGAGAAAAACTAAGAGAATGTTAAAGATAATTTTAGAAAGACCAATTTTAAATGAATCATTCTAGTTCAATAATTTAGTAAAGCAAGTATTTTTACCTGTAAATAATCCAGAAAGCCCATTTTTAGCAACAATGTTCTTCATTATAACCCAAGTTGACATATTCAAAGGCACAGAAACTAAATAGAAAAAAATGCCGTTTTAAATCTCAATTTAATAATTTCCAGTAGAGATGAACGGAGGCTGGGTTAAGTCAGTGTACACTGTGTGCATGTATGCAAATACCACACTGAACCGCATTCAACTGTATATAATAAAAACAATTATAGAAAATTAGCTTTCTATAATTTTATCCAATGGAGTAAGACATCAAAATTTAAATGAAATAAAATTTCTGACTGTAAAAAGAAATTAGGAATGATTTAAGAAGCTAACCTATAAATACAAATAGTGTAAGTGAAAACATAATAACTACAGCAACCAAAAAAGGGACATATACTTTAAACCAATTACAAAATATTTAAAGTAACATTCTAAAGAAAGTTGATGACAAGAACTTTATACTACATATAGGCAACTTTTACTTCATGTTTCATATACATAGAGATAATAAGAAAGTAAAGGTAATAAAGTAATAATAAGGTAAAATAATAAGGTCAAATAAAGGTAATAAGACTCTTCTTACTTTATAAAGATGTTTTATTACTAAATATTTCAATACCAAAAAGTATAGAAAGAAAACATTTCTTGCCCATTCAAATATATTAAAGCATAGCCATTATAACCTTCAGATATGACTGAAGCCTCCCATATACATGCCCCCATCTTGTTTTCCCTTTCTCCTCACAGGTGACCATTCTGTCTTCTCATATATTTGTTTAAAATTGTACTCTGAACATATCTACTTAAACTATGTTTACTGTTGTACTGTGCATTTCCTCTTGCAGTGTGTTGCTGAAATGAGCTATGTTGGTGAGTGTAGCTCTGCTTTATTCTAATTGCTACCTGGCATTGCATTTCATATGTTATCATGACATACCTATTTTCTTGCTAAGAGACAGTTAGGTTGTATCTAACTTTTCTTTGTACATGTATGAAAGCTTCTCAAGGGGATATAAATAGGAATGAGTTTGAAAGCTTGAACATTTCTTGACACTGCCAGACTCTTTTTTTTTGTCGGTCGTGGGGCTTGAACTCAGGGCCTGAGTGCTGTCCTTCAGTTCTTCAGCTCAAGACTAGCACTCTACCATTTGAGCCACAGCGACTCTTCCGGTTTTCTGGTGGTTTATCTCCAATAAACCACGGGTGGCATGAACCACCAGTGCCCGGCACTGCCAGACTTTTCTAGGGCATTTGTCTAAAATTCCTCAGTGATCCAATTCATAAAAATGTCTTCTTGTCATTCTTCATAACTACTAAGATTCAGGATTTATTTCATTTCATTTGATTTTTTGGCATTGGTACTGAGGCTTGAACTCAGGGTCAGGATTCAGTCCCTTAGACTTTTTACTCAAAGCTACATTCTGCCAGTTAGTCACAGCTAGCCTTTTTTTTTTGGGTCCGGTCGTGGGGCCTGAACTCTGGGCCTGGCCACTGTCCCTCAGCTCTTCAGCTCAAGGTTAGTGCTCTACCACTTGAGCCACAGTGCCACTTCCGGCTTTTTTCTTTTTGCTTATGTGGTGCTGAGGAATTGAACCCAGGGCCTCAGGCATGCAAGGCAAGCGCTCTACCACTGAGCCACCTTCCCAGCCCCATGGCTTTTTTTTTTTTTTTGTGGTTAATTAGTGACAACAGTTTCAATGAGCTTTCCTGCTGAGGCTGGCTTTAAACTGTGATCCTCAGATATCAGTCTCTCGAGTATCTAGGAATACAGGCATGAGTCACCATAACAAGATTGAGGAATAGGAATGTATGTGTGTATGCTGGTCCTGGGCTTGAACTTGGAGTTGTATCGTGTGTGTATGTGTGTATGTGTCATGTGTGTGTGTGTGTGTGTATGCTAGTCCTGGGCTTGAACTTGGACCTGTATCGTGTGTGTGTGTGTGTGTGTGTGTGTCTGTATGCTGGTCCTGGGCTTGAACTTGGACCTGTATCCTGTGTGAGTATGCTGGTCCTGGACTTGAAC